CAAAGCCTAGCTCAAAGTTAAGTTCATTAATGGCTTCGGTTTTAGTAATAATCATAATTTAAATCAATCTTCATAGTAGTTGTGATGCAAAAAGACACCCATTTTCTTTTAAGCCTAAGGACAATTTTATTTTTGATTAAGAGAAAAACACAGTACACGTTATTTAAAATCCCAATAAGAAAAGAGGTGGAGAAAAACTCATTCCTTTAAGTTAGTTATGGAACAAAAATAGAAGCTTATTAAGAAAGGACAAAGAACTTCTAAAATAGCTGTGGTTTATAGGAAATAGCCACCAAAGCCTTTGTAATTAAAGCAATTTTAAACATCTCTATCTATATATCTATCTAATTTTTGTGTTTATGCTTGCATGAGTTTGTGTGCACCATGGGCAATGCCACACCTGGGTAGGTGGATCAGAATTGTGTAAAAACCAAGTTGAATAAGGCAGGGGAAGCAAGCCAATACACAATGCTCCTCCATGGTGTCTTTCATCTACTGGCTTTAGATGCTGCCATGAATTCTCTCAGTGATAGACTGTGATTAGGACACATAAACCCAGTGAACCCTTCCCTTCCTAAGTTAGTTTTTGTCAGTCATTTATCCCAAAGACAGACAGTAAGGAGGACAGAGAAAAAATAATAACTATATAGTATGAACATGGTTGTATACATATAAACAAATGATCGAAGAGACTTCTCATTAATATGACATATTGGCTTTATGACTCATAGTAACTCTGGGAATTGCTCTGCAGATGCACGACTTGAATACAATCACAAGATACAATCACACTAGACCATATTGAGGGGACTTCTGCGAGTGTACTGTCAGTAGTGTTAGAGCTCTTTAAAGGTGGCAATGCCATACATACTAAGAAGAGAATGATAAATAGCCTAGATTTATTGAGATAAAAGTGTTGTTAAAACTAAATTCAATATCAAATATTTGACTGGATATTTAATGGACAAATGAAAAAACTCAAAGAAAACTTGTAGTGTGTCACTAGTATTGCTTCAGCAATAATTTCTTAATATTGATCTTTATATCCTGGCTTTATAAGATGTTAACATTAGGAAAAGTTGAATGAAGGCAATATGAGAAGTCTCTGGATTATTTTGCTATTTTATAAATATAATTTTTCAATATATTTTCAATATATATTCTAATTTCCCTTTTAAATTTCTTCTTTTACACATTGTTATACTATTTAGTTTCAACAAATTTTTATTTTCATAAATTTCCTTGCTGTCAATTTCTAACTTCATTCCATTGTGGTTAAAGTGTGTACTTCATTCTACACTTTTCTTTTCTTTTTCTACTTCCAGTGTGTGATCTAACATGGAGAATGTTCTACATTCACCTGAGAAGAATGTCTACTTTTGGGTAGAGTGTAGAGTAGACGTATTTCTAGGACTATTTGCTTCTTAGTGTTGTTCGAGTCTTTTATCTCACAGTTAACGACTCTCTAGTGTCCTAACCACTACTGAAAGTAGTTACTGAAATCTCCAATTAGTATTTAGAATTGTCTATTATAGCTCTGTGACGTTTTGCTTCATGTATTTTTTTCTATTCTTAGACGATTGTAATAGCTTCCTATTACAATCAACCCTTTCATCATTAGAAAGCATTATTTAGCCTGTAATATTTTTGTTTTAAAGTGTATTTGTCAGATACTTATATTGCCACTCTAGCTTTTCTTATTTTCAGTGATATAGTAGTATTTCACAGCTGAAAGATAATAATCTATATAAACTTTCTACTACAGATGGACCATTAGGTTATTTATAGTCTTATAAACTATAAACATTCTTGTACAGATGTGCAAGCATTTGTGTAAGTCAAATTTCTTTATCAAAGTACATTTGCATTTTAAAATTAGATACAATGATTAAAATTATCCAACAGAATGATTATATGTATTTAAATTTCCACCAATAATGTGTAGTAAGTTTCCCACACTCTAGTCAACATTGCATGGTATCAGTATTTTTTTTATTGATTTTTATTGAGCTCTACATTTTTCTCTGCTCCCCTCCCTGTAAGGCTTACAATTTATATCTTGCATCTTTTCCCAGGTTTTTTAAACTTTCAGTCTCTCTGATTATTTCTTGTGATACACGGTTTAATAGATTAATTTATCATCCTTACATTCTCAGGGTGAATGGAAATGAACTCGTTTCCATGTTCAGAAGTGTACCAAATCTGGAGTCAATGTAAAAAGAGAGAATGGAAAGAGACCTATTCTTCCTCAGTGACAATAGGCTGGAGATGACACCCTTTTCTTTTTCTCCCTCTGGGCTGCAGGGCCCTTAAGTTTAGAGCTTCTCCACACCCTTGCACTCAGGATTGAAGAGAAGGGACCAAGTGATTTAGGCATAGAAAGAGTAAGAGGAAGTCACATTAATCAAGAAAGATGAGCAAGGCATGCAGGCCTTTAATACCAGCACTGGAGAGGCAATAGCTTGGAGATCTTTTTTTTTTTTTTGATTTTTTTTTATTGAGAAAAGAAAAAAAAAACAAATTTCCTCCTCCTCCCAGCCTCCCATTTCCCTCCCCCTCCTCCCACCCTTCTCCCCCTCCTCCCAACCTTCTCCCCCTCCCCCCACTCCTCTCCCCCTCCCTCTCCAGCCCAAAGAGCAGTCAGATTTCCCTGCCCTGTGGTAAGTCCTAGGTCCTCCCCCCTCCGTCCATTTCTAGGAGGGTGAACATCCAAACTGGCTAGGATCCCACAAAGCCAGCACATTACGTAGGTTCAAAACCCCGTGCCATTGTCCTTGGGTTCTCATCAGCCCTCATTGTTCGCCATGCTCAGAGAGTCCAGTTTTATCCCATGCTTTTTCAGTCACAGTTCAGCTGGCCTTGGTGAGCTCCCAATAGATCTAGCTTGGAGATCTTTGTGTTCTTAAGGGCAACCTGGGTCTTTAAAAAAATGCCCCCTCCCCCGCCCCACATGTCATCACTATGAATTCAGAGTGGTGTGCCAATCATTTGGCTATGGAACATAGTATACTTTACATATGACTACCGATTGGCCAAAGGGCGTAAGCCCGCCCCCAAGATGACGTTTGTGTACAGATAGTTTCCATAGAAACCTCAGTTTCTGCTGGCGGTTAGACAAGCAGAGTGCTGCTCCTCTACTCTCCTTAAAAAAGAGCTAAATTTGGTAAACAATCGGGAAATTTGATCCTGGTTGTAGAACTAATTCAGACAACAGACTTCTGGGTTGTGTGACCAGTCCATTTTCAAAGATAATACCTGCAAACCTGGGAATTCGTTAGTATTACTTAAATGAGTTCCAGAAAGAAAGAACCTCATGTTCGTGACCAACATTTTGGGGAAGGAGATGACTTCGAGAAACAGACAGCAAGTTACAGGGAAGTCAGAAAGGTGAGAAATCGCCCCTCAGAACAAAAGTCAGCCGAACCGAGGAATCGTCAACCAGCACTTCCAGGAAGACCACAGGGTTGCCCTGCCACAAAAAGTCGCTCAGTGGAGAGAGGTCGCTCCCATCGGAAATCCCGAAGAACAGAGAAAAATCCCTCCCCCGAGAAGTATCACATTGCAGATAAAAGTCCCACTGCTGAGAAGCACTGCGCTACAGTTAAGAGCACCTTGGCTGAGAAGCCTTTGTTGGCTGAGAAACATCGTGCTACAGAGAAGAGTTCCTCTGCCAGGAAACAGCATTCTCTTGGAAAACATCATACTATGGGGAAATTTTCCTCTGCCAGAAAGTCCCCCTCTGACAGGCGCCTCCCTGGGAAGAAGTGTCACTTCTCTGAGAAAAGACATTCATCTGAGAAGCATCTCTCTCTTGAGAAAGATCTTCCCACACAGAGAGGTGGGCTTATCAAGAAAAGCCGTCTAACAGAGAAACGTCACTCTACAGAGGAATGTGGATTGGCTGAGAGAGGCTGCCCTATCATGAGAGGTCGACCTGTAAAGAAAGGACTTTCTACTAAGAAGAGTGCATCTACTGAGAAAGGTTACTTTGATGGGAGAGGTCGCTCTACTGAGAACCATCACCCTGAAGAGAAAGACCCCTCAGTCAAGAAATTTATTTCTGCAGGGAGCGATCACCAGCTAGTGAGAGGCCATTCTGTGAAGAGAAGACTCTCCACAGAGAAGAAAGGTCACCCCATGGGGAGAGTTCGGCCAGCTAAAAAAAGTTGCCTGGCAGGGAAGTGTCGCTCACAAGAGAAGACTAGCCGTGCAGTGAGAGGTCGCCTCTTTAAAAGCTGCCCTGCAGAGGAGAGTAATTTATTCAAAAAGGGTAACTCTGCAAAGAAAGGACTCTTTCTTGGAAAAGATAGCCGCACAAGGAGGCTTCGCCTCAGAAAAAGTTATCCTGCAGAGGAGGGTTACTCATTTGAGTGGGGTAACTCTGAGGAGAGAGGACCCTCTGCATGTGAAGATTGCCCTGCAGGTAGTGTTTGCTCCATCAAAAGCCTCCCTGCAAAGGAGAGTCCTTCATCTGAGAAGGATAACAATCTAAAGAAAGGGCCATCTCCTGGGAAAGATCACCGCACAAGGAGGCTTCGCCTCAGAAAAAGGTACCCTGAAGAAGAGGGTTACTCATTTGAGTGGGGTAGCTCTGAGGAGAGAGGACACTCTGCACCTGAAAATCTCCCTGCAGGGAGAGGTCCCCTCATCAAAAGCTGCCCTGCACAGGAAAATCACTCATCTAAGAAGGATAACTCTTCAAAGAGAGGACCTCTCCTGGAAAAGATCACCCCACAGGGAAAGGTAAGCCTCGGAAGAACAGCCGCCCTGCAGAGGAGGGTCTGTCAGTGGACAGGGCTAACTCAGCAGCAAGAAGACCCTTTGTAGGTGAAGATCGCCCTACAGGAAGTGATCACCCCATTAATAGCCACTCTGCTGGCAGGCGTCATTCATCTGAGAAGGGTAACTCTGCAAATGAAGGACTCTCTCCTGGGACAGATCACTGCATAAAGAGGCGTCGCCTCAGAAAATGTTATCCTGCAGAGGAGGGTTACTCATTCATGTGGGGTAACTCTGAGGAGAGAGGACACTCTGTACGGGAAGATCGCCCTGCAGGTAGTGGTCCCTCTATCAAAAGCCATCCTGCAGAGGAGAGTCCTTCATCTGAGAAGGATAACTCTGTAAAGAGAGGACCATTTCCTGGGAAAGATCACCGCACAAGGAGTCTTCGCCTCAGAAATAGTTATCCTGCAGAAGAGGGTTACTCATTTGAGTGGGGTAGCTCTGAGGAGAGAGGGCCTTCTGCATGTGAAGATCGCCCTGCAGGTAGTGTTTGCACCATCAAAAGCCTCCCTGCAAAGGAGAGTCCTTCGTCTGAGAATGATAACTCTGTAAAGAGAGGACCATCTCCTGGGAAAGATCACCGCACAAGGAGGCTTAGCTTCGGAAAAAGGTACCCTGAAGAAGAGCGATACTCATTTGAGTGGGGTAGCTCTGAGGAGAGAGGACACTCTGCACATGAAAATCTCCCTGCAGGGAGAGGTCACCTCATCAAAGGCTGTCCTGCAGAGGAAAGTCATCCATCTAAGAAGGATACCTCTTCAAAGAGAGGACCCTCTCCTGGAAAAGATCACCCCACAGGGAGAGGTAAGCCTCCGAAGAAAAGGCGCCCTGCAGAGGAGGGTCTGTCAGTGGACAGGGCTAACTCAGCAGCAAGAAGACCCTTTGTAGGAGAAGATCGTCCTACAGGGAGTGATCACCCCATTAATAGCCACTCTGCTGGCAAGCGTCATTCATCCGAGAAGGGTAACTCTGCACATGAAGAACCCTCTTCTGGGACAGATTGCTGCATAAGGCGGCATCGCCTCAGAAAAAGTTGTCCTGCAGAGGAGGGTTACTCATTCATGTGGGGTAACTCTGAGGAAAGAGGACACTCAGTACGGGAAGATCGCCCTGCAGGTAGTGGTCCCTCTATCAAAAGCCATCCTGCAGAGGAGAGTCCTTCATCTGAGAAGGATAACTCTGTAAAGAGAGGACCATCTCCTGGGAAAGATCACCGCACTAGGAGGCTTCGCCTCAGAAAAAGATACCCTGAAGAAGAGGGTTACTCTTTTGAGTTGAGTAGCTCTGAGGAGAGAGGACACTCTGCACAGGAAAATCGCACTGCAGGGAGAGGTCACCTCATCAAAAGCTGCCCGGCAGAGGAAAGCCATTCATCTAAGAAGGATAACTCTCCTGGAAAAGATCACCCCACAGGGATAGGTAAGCCTCCGAAGAAAAGCAGCCCTGCAGAAGAGGGTCTGTCAGTGGACAGGGCTCAATTGGCAGCAAGAGGACCCTTTGTAGGTGAAGATCGCCCTACAGGGAGAGGTCCGCTTCAGAAGAAAAGCTGCCCTGCAGAGGAGTGTCACTCAGATGAAAGGGGTAGCTCTGCAGCAGGAAGACCCTTTGCAGGTGAAGATGGCCCTGCAGGGAGAGGTCAGCCTCTGGAGAAAAGCCTCCTTGCAGAGGAGGGTCGCTCATATGAAAAGAGAAGCTCGGCAGCAGGAAGACCCTTCGCAGGTGAAGATCGCCCTGCAGGGAGTAGTCAGCCTATCAAAACCTACTGGGCCAAAGAGGGTCATTCATCTGAGAGCAGTATCCCTGCGAAGAGAGGACCCTCTCCCGGAAAAGAGGGTCATGTAGATGAAAGGGCCAATTATGCTGAGATAGGATCCTTTGCAGCAAAAGAATGCCCCACAGGAAGTGGTCAGGCTCCAAAGAAAATCTGCCCTGCAGAGGAGGGTAACCCAGGTGAAAGGGGTAACTCTGCAGGGGGAGGACCCTCTGCAGGGAAGGATGGCCCCACAGGGAGAGGTCAGCCTTCAAAGAAGAGCTGCCCTGAGGAGGAGGGTCGCTCACTGGATAGGGGTAACTATGTGCAGAGAGAACCCTCTGCAGGGAAAGATGATCCCATGGGGATACATAGGGCTCCAAAGAAAAGCCAACATGCAGAGAAACATCTATCTGCCCTGGGAAGCTACTCTCCCCAAACAAGTCATCCTGCAGAGAAAAGTCTATCTTCCCAGAGTGTCTGCTCTGCAGAGAAAGTGAACACAGGGGAGAGAGGTCACTTTGTTGAGAAAGAATGCCCTGCAGAGAGAGAACTCTCTGTTGAGAAAGGTGAGACAGAAAAGAAAGTCATCTGTTTTGTGAAAGTTCATTCTGAGGAGAAAGATCAGTCCTCCCAAAGCAGCTACACTGCTGAGAAAGGTAACAGAGTAGAGAGCGGGTACCCTGTCGGGAAAGGTCATCACTCCATGGAAAAAAGCTTTCCTGTGGAGAAACCCTCTTCTTCAGGATCTGCACTTTACATGCCAGTGCCAAAGAACATGCTGAATATTCAAGAAAACAGAGTTGGCAGTGGTACCAGCACAGTACCACAGATTCCTCACCAGAATGTGACTGGGACTGTCACCACTGGTCAATCTGGGCAGGCAGGGAAGGTGAGAATGGGAGTTGAATTGAAGTTGCCTGATGAACTTAAGCCATGTCTTGTTGAGGACTGGGAACTGATAAACAAGCATAAGCAGTTATTCCAACTCCCTGCTGAGAAGAATGTAGATACTATTCTTGCAGAGTATGTCACTTTTGTGAAATCACAGGGAAAGGCTGATGATAGGGAATATTCTGTTGATGAACTTGTATATGGAATAAGAGAGTACTTCAACAGGATGCTGGGCACCCAGCTACTCTGCAAGTTTGAAAAGCCCCAGTTTGCCGAAATCTACCTGGCTTATCCTCATATTCCAATGTCTCAGATTTATGGGGCTCCACACCTCCTACGATTATTTACTCAAATTGGGACTGTATTGACCCATTCCCTCCTTAGTAGGCATAGTCTTATGCGAGTGTCTAGGTATCTGCACGATTTCCTTAAATACCTAGCTGAGAATTCCACTTCTCTATTTAGTGCCAGCAATTACAAAGTGGCTTCTGCTGAGTATTGTTTCCAAGCCCTGTGAGGGTCAGCTGACCACTCCCTATTATAACCTGGAGCAGTAAACATTTGTGTGTTTGCTGTTTTTATTATAGTGGCCTTGAAAATTGTCAAAGTATAACAGGCCTTAATATATTAGTCTGCTTATTGTTGTGAACAGAAATAAAAATATAAAATGCTTCATGAGTATTTCAACAACAAATAAATGTTCATTAAAAGAATTTGACAACATTGCTTGAATGTTGGTGCTTTTATTCTTACACATTATGAGTTTCTACTAGGTGTTCATATTACATCATAACATGCACTCATTCCTAGTGCTAAAGATTCAATATAATGGATATGCTCTACATGTGAGCATACAAATAATTTAAAATATAAAATTGTTTAGAAATGTATAAATATTGGGGATATAGCTAAGGAGGCCCTGGGTTTACTCCTTGGTTTCAAAAGTGAAAGAAAGAAGAAGAAAAAAGGAAGTACTGAGGAGAAGGAAAAGGAAGGATGGGTATAAAGTGAAAGGGAGGCTAGAGAGGGGGAGGTGATGAGCGAGAGGTAGTGAGTGGAGGAGAGAAATAGGTGGAAAGAAGAAGAGGCAGAATAAAGAAAAGGAGAGGAGATGGAGGAGGAGAAAGAGAAGGGGCAGGAGGAAGACAAGATGGGGAAGAGAAGGAAGAGGGAAAGTAGAATGGGGAAAAGACACGGGAGGAAGAAGAAAAGAGTGGGAGGAGACAGAGAAGGGTAGTGAAGAAAAGGAAAGGGAGGAAAAGAGGAAAATGACGGGGAGAAGGGCAGGAGGATATGGACAAGGATATGGAGGAGGAAAAGGAGAGGAGGGATAGGAAGAGAAGAAGAGATGGAAGAGAGAATGAAGAGAAAGATGGAAAGGAGAAAGATTGGGGATAGAGGGTTGGAGAAGGAGAAGAGGGAGAGTAGAGAGAGGAGGAGGAGAGGTAGAAGGGAAGGTTTGGGAGGAGGAGAATTGAGGGAAGAAAAATAATAAGAGAAGAAGATGAGGGAAAAGAAGGAAAGAGGAAGAAGAGGTGAGGGAAAAAGAAGGATGGAGAAAGGGGAGAAAGAGGAGAGGGAGGAGAAGGGGAGAGGAAGATGAAAAGGTGAGGGAGGAGAAGAGGAAGAGGAAAGGAGAGGAGCGGAGAAAAAGAGTAGGAAAGAGATAAGAGGGGAGTGTAGAAGGAGCAGCAGGCTGCATTCCTGACACCAGGCTCCTGGCTGCCTGCTAGCTTATGCCCTGAAATAACAACACACAAATTGTATTCATTTAAACACTGCTTGGCCCAGTAGCTTCAGCCTCTTTGGCTAACTCTCACATCTTGATTAACCCATTTCTAATAATTTATGTAGCACAACAAGGTGGTGGCTTACCGGGAAAGATTCTAGCCTGCATCCATCTTGGTGAGGAGAGCTATTGCATCTATCTGAGGCATCTGCCTCACTTCCATTCTTCCCAGCATTCTGTTCTGTCTACTCCACCCACCTATGTTCTGACCTATCAGGCCAAGCAGTTTCTATATTAATTAACCAATGAAAGCAACAGATAAACAGATGACCCTCCTCCATCAGGGGAGGAGGGGAGAAGGAAGAGAAGGAGGGAAAGAAGGATAGAGAAATGAACGAGGAAGAAAATTAAGGGAAGAATCGGTAAGGAGAAAGAAAGGAGTGGTGGAAGAGGGAAATAACAGAAGGTGGAACATGAGAAGAGACAAGACAAGAAGTAGAAAGAAAGAAGGACGGGGAGGAATAGAAAAATAGAATAAGAAAGGGGAGGAGGGTAAAGGGGAAGAGGAAGATAACATGAGGAAAGAACAGAAGGAGTGGCAGTAGGAGAGGAGGAGGAAGAGAAGTAGTGGAGGATGAAGGAAAAGGGAAGAATATAGAAGACGTGGCAGCAAAAGAAAGGGGGAGAAGGTAAAAGGAGAACAAGTAGAGGAAGGAGGATGGAGAGACATAGTGGCGAGGAAACAATAGGAGGAGGAAGAAGGATAAAGAAGTGGAGAGGGAAACATCACCTTTCATGATAGCCACAAATAGCATAAAGTATCTTGGGGCAGCACTAACCAAGGAAGTGAAAGATCTATTTGACAAGAACTTTAAGGCTTTGAAGAAAGAAATTGAAGAGGACACCAGAAAATGGATCGCCCATGCTCTTGGATTGGGAGGATCAACATAGTAAAAATGGCAATTCTACCAAACGCAATCTATAAATTCAACACAATCCCCATCAAGATCCCAACAAAATTCTTCACAGACCTTGAGAGAACAATAATCAACTTTATATGGAAAAACAAAAAACCCAGGATAGCCAAAACAATCCTATATAATAATGGAACTTCCAGAGGCATTACCATCACTGACTTCAAACTCTATTACAGAGCTACAGTAATGAAAACAGCTTGGTATTGGCATAAAAACAGAGACACTGACCAATGGAATCTAATCAAAGACCTGGATATTAATCCACAAACCTATGAACACCTGATTTTCAACAAAGGAGCTAAAATTATACAATAAAAGAAAGAAAGCATCTTTAACAAATGGTGCTGGCAAAACTGGTTGTCAACCTGTAGAAGAATGAAAATACATCCATATCTATCACCATGCACAAAACTCAAGTCCAAGTGGATTAAAGACCTCAATATAAATCTGACCGCACTGAATCTAATAGAAAAGAAAGTGGGAAGTAGACTGCAACACATGGGCACAGGAGACCACTTCCTACGTATAACCCCAGTAGCACAGACAATAAGAGAAACATTGAATAAATGGGATCTCCTGAAACTGAGAAGCTTCTGTAAAGCAAAGGACACTTTCATTAAGACAAAAAGGTATCCTACTGAATTGGAGAAGATCTTCACCAACTCCCCATCTGACAGGGTCTGATCTCCAAAATATATAAAGAACTCATAAAACTAGACATTAAAATTCCAATTAACCCTATTAAAAATGGGGCAATGAACTGAACAGAGAATTCTCCACAGAAGAATTTCAAATGGCCAAAAGGCACTTAAGGTCATGTTCAACCTCCTTAGCAATCAGGGAAATGCAAATCAAAACAACTTTGAGATACCATCCTACTTTTTCTTTATATTACTAAAGGCTACTACCTGTAGAAGTACCTGAAAGGGTACACAAAAGGATGAAATCTGGCAGATAGATGTGTTCCACTTTGTAGAATTGGGAAAACTAAAATGTACACCGCACCATTGATATCTATTTAGATTTGTGATGGACAACTGCTTTGATTTCAGAAAAGGCTGGTTTGGTAATCACACCTTTACTAGAAGTTATGGTCATCCTGAGTATACTTGCATAAATAAAGACAGATTGTGGTCCAGCATATATCTCTAAGAAAATGAAACAGCTTTTTGCTAATTTATTATAATATAAAGTATATTATAGGTATACCACACAATCCTACAGGTCAGGCAGTTATAGAAAGATCAAATCAAACTATAAAGGATGTGTTAATCAAACAGAAAGGGATAGAAAATACCCCCAGAAACAGATTGCATAATGTTTTATTAACCTTGAATTTTATTAATGCTAATGAGAATAGAACAATAGTAGAAGAGAGATATTGAATAATTGAAAAAAACTTCTAAATTAAATCAGCCGATATATTTCAATGATGTGTTGACGTCAAAATGGAAACCAGAAGATGTGCTATGTTGCAGAAGGGGTTTTACACTTGTTTCCACAGGAGAAGAAAACCTATGGATACCATCAAAATTTATAAATATTTGAATGAAAAGGAGAAACCTCTTGATAAAGAGAAATGACAGCTCATCCACATGGGTGACAATTCTATAGGTTGTAAGGAAACATTATAAGGGTTAGGGCAGGGTTCTGTTCTTGTCTTTGCAGGAAAATACCAATCTTTGAAAAGTCAAGAGACCTTGGATATCTAGATGCTTAAAGAAGAAAAGAAAGATATCCAGAAAGAACCACCAAGCAAAGAAAAGAGAAATCTGTCTTATGATACGAATATCCTCTTCAGGGTAAGATATTAATACATAAACATACATATAATAGTATTCATCATTTTTTAAAAATCAAAGCTTGATTTGAAGTTGGACATTAGGTATCCTTCTCTAAATCCAAGAATGTTGTAACTGTTAATAAGATTGAAACAATGATCCAAAAAATTTTCTCCATACTTAAAAATGTCCAGAACCAGCCAGGTAGTGATGGTGCATGCCTTTAATCCCAGCACTCAGGAGGCAGATGTAGATGGATCTCTGTGAGTTCAAAGTCATTCTGGTCTACAAGGTCTAGTCCAAGGATAGACACCAAATCTACACAGAGAAACCCAGTCTTAAACAAAAAAACTAAAAATATTGTCCATAGCCATATGAACTCACTGAAGAATTCTACCAGAACTTCAAAGAAGAGGTAATACAAACACACCAATACTAGTTAAGTAATTCCACAAAATAGACAAGGAAGGAAGATTTCCATCATCTATAAAGACAGTGTTACTCTGATACCAAAA